CCCCCCCAAAAAAAAAAAAAAAAAAAAAAAACGAGGATATTTGAGCACGGCGACTAGTCTAATCGCGGCTAGCCATATCTCTCTCATCGATTCTCGTCCTTCATTCGGGATACCGTTCATTCGCAGATTCTCCAAGCGTCTGGCGCGCGTTGCAGTTGCATTATGCGCCACGGCCGCGCGGCGCGCGTCGGCAATGCAAATTTAGCCCGACGGGAACAATAATATTGATTTCACGAAACCGGAATTTCGCTCTTCCCGGGATAAACATCCCGGGCGAGCGCACGTGGCGTCAATATGCGTCTTTCATTCTTGGTGTATGTAAGCGAGAATTCGTTTCAGGGCCGTTTTGCTGAGGCGCAGCTCGGCGTTTTCTCCTGAGGAAACGTAAGCGTACGCTTCGCATTTGTGTGTCTTTATCTTCAGGACAAAAATTCAACCGGCAATACTAAATATTAGTCTTTACTTAGAGAAGCACAGTAAGATGCGCGCGCGTAACAATATATTAATTCTTAATACTATTCACGAAAGTTAATCTAGAATAAATATAATAGTAATAATTATATCGAGAGAGAAACGGATGTGTGTGTGTGTGTGTGCGAGCGCAATTACGAAAAATAAAGTTGTTATATTTATTAAGTACAATAACAGTGAAATAATGATTAATAAATATAATGACGGAAAAGTTCGTTTTAAGCGACGAGGAGGTTACCTTGGAAGAACCGAATGGACTCTAACGGATTGAAGGATATCGAGCGAAGGACTCTCGCACGGGTCGCCGCGATAAAATAATAATTCCAGCAATTCCTGGGGGTCCACGGTGTGCCGTCGTCGGGCACTTGAAAGGATCCCGAGACAGAGGGACGGGGGCGGTCAAGCCGGGTACCCGACACATGTAGCCCCCCAGGTGGCGAGCACCGCGACTCGCTCAGACCCCCAACGGAGACGCGGGCTTCGACACATTCTGCGCCGTCATCGTCGGTCCCGGCTACGTCATTGCGTAGTACGTGAGGCCGATAGCTACACGTGTATACGAGGACGCGTATCGTCATGCACGCATATCGACTCGATTTCTCGAATCGCGATTAAGCAGATGCCAAAGTGAATGACGAGCTCCGATGAAAAAAATGCTCGCAAAGAGAATTAACAAATGTCGATAACGTTATTATCTATTATTATCGCAATTTTATGTAGGTATATATAAATATTCGCAGATCAAACTGTTATGTCGAATAAATGCTGACCCGCGCTTTATCCTTTCCTCGTATTTCCTTACATACTTAAAAACTCTAGTTAAAAATTTTATCGATCAAGCACTCACAAAGAGTTTTCTTACAAAATTTACATCGTAGTGAACTTGCAGAATTAGAAATACTTCTACACAGTCAAAGTATATGCGAAAATGAAACGTTATACCATAAATAGTGTATATATATATATATACTCCTTTCGTCACATATATATATTGCAATTTCGTAATGAAGCAAAAGTAATGAAAGTTTTGGTTACAGCAAGAAATATATTTTCAGTAAAAACCATGATTAGCTATGGCAGTGAAATTTTTTTGCGTGCAAATATTTACGCAAATCTCTTACAGAAATTTGTCCAATAATGCTACTTCTACCTAAATACATCGACGCCAGGGTGCATTAGTTTACCGAGAAAGCCTTTGCTAACTTAACTTCGAGTTTGTCCAGCTTATTGCAGGATTTATTCAATTGTCCTTTTATGCTATCGGGAATAAGATCCTATAACCGTACATGCTCGATATCTGCATTCATCAGATCGATCAATGTAAAGCAAAACTGACAGATGAGAAACGAGGTAGGATACGAAATCAACATGTCAATGAAAAGAGACTCTCCTACAAACATAATAAGCGATTGCTCAACATTCGCATTAACGTCGCGTCACGCGTTAGCGAGTAATAAGTCCGGCGCAAGTATGACAGGTGAGAAATTAAGTACACGTAAAAATAATTTCAATCACAAGATCACTTCTTCTACTTTCATAATAAGAAATTTGCCGTGCAAACCATATTAACTATATCGTATCATGTGTTTGCGAAAAAGTCGGAAAGGTCGCTGCAATTTTGACAGGTGTGCTACCAGATATATGCAATCGAAATTTCGGTGATAAGAGAGTTTTCTACAGTTAGAATAAATGATTGTCATGTAATTAACACGTGTTCGTGTTAAAATACATGAAGCGAGTGAGCATGTGATACTGACCTTGCCCAACGAGTTGCAACAAGCGACCTGCAGAACACGTCTCGATACAAATCAATTTGGTTTTATGCAGAGAGATACCGATTACGAATATTTCGTGAAGTCAAAGGATTTTTGCAACCAATTTTACTATAATTTTGACTACGTTCAGCAGAGAAAGCTGCTTTGCAACTGTTGTAAAATTTGTGAATCTAATATGTTTTTAATCTTGACTGAATTTAAAAGCATATATACACCAATCAGATTTACAAATTTTATCAAATTGCGAAGCAGCTTTTTCTGCTGAATGTAATCGGTCATGGTGGGAATTCAATGCTAGATGAGAAAATAAAAGGATTTAAGAGATTATTTGTTATTTCTGCGCGTTGAATTAGTTTCAGTCTCCGCCACGTGCCGCGTCACTTTGCTTAGGCCTGTTCTGCGATACGTTGTATATCGGACGCATACGTGCTGAACTGTCAGCCGTCCCAATACACCCGATAAACGATACCGACATACGGTATATTGTAGGACAGGTCTTATCGAGGAATTGAAGACTCGCGTACGTATGACTGAACAATGGGTGGGACGCATCTTCGCTTTGTCAAGTAGTACTACTCAATGGTGCGTGTGGGTCAGGTGTCTTCTATTCCCTTGATGATTTGTTTGATTTTCTAGATTGTTTTTGATTTTATTTAACTATCTTCGATGAGATGTGTCACGTATTTACTATGTGCAACAAGAGATAATAATTAAAAATTAATATATTTGATTTTTTTCTCAAGTAATCTTTATGCATTGAATTATATTTTTGTCCAAGTATAATCTTGATATCTTAGAAGATGTTTCACACATTACTTTATGGAATCACTAATTAAATGGCGCGTTTAGTTATTTATGTTAATATCATAAAAAATAGATATAACGCTCTTGAAATAGTTGACCGACACAGAAAAGATGTCGTTGTCGAAGTGAAAGGTCGTGTGTGAGCGAAAGTCTTGAATTTTAATTATATAAATTATAACTTGAAAGCAGATAAGATGAAAAGAATATATGAGAAGGCATTATTATCGTCTTCTCGTAAATGGTTTGGCCTGATAACACTAAATAAGTACTCCAAGAAGACAACGACTCGAAAAAAGAAACTGGACATGTACAAAATGGAAACGTAAAAACGGCATCTTTATAATTAAATCTTTATTGACCCTCCCGCCGCTGATCCTATTGAAAATATATAGACAATCATAAGATGAAGCATCGGGGAAAACGAGTTTTCACTTTGAAATATAATATCAGCTGCGCACAATATGGAGGTCGTTATTCGAGACATTAGAGAAAAATCTCGTTAACCGCATGCTTCGACGTTATTGCCAAGGCATACTCAACAATGGAGGAGAGTGGACGTACTGGATAAACGCATTTTAGTGCATATAATGTATATTAAGACTCTGTGTTTATTTGGAAAAGACTATGTATTCTACGGAAGATAGCTGTTGTGCCATTGGCTGTCTCTTTCAAATTAAGACCAGCAATGGCATATGTCAGAGCTTCAGCAGTGAGTCCATCATCAGGATTATCACAGCTCCGCCGCTTCGGAGAACTAATACGCTAATCGCAGGATTCGTAGGTATATAATTCGCCAAATTAGATACTCGTACAATACAAAGCGTCAACCTGGTAATATGATGAAGACTAGTGGCGTTTCATTTCGCTCCTAATTACCACGTACAAATCGTGAGCGCAATTAAACACTGCTAATCTATACATTCATCCATATCGCTATGTAATTATTAATTTTGCGAAAAGAATCTCTTTGAAACAACGAGAAGTAATTGCATTAATATGATTAATGTAATGATATCAATAAAATAAATAATAATAATTACCTATGGATTTTTTTTGCCATAGCGGTTATGCTTAATTTTCATTGTGAAATCAAGTTGATTTCTATTGCTTTCTAATTAATTCGCTTTGGCTTCCCGGGCTGGAGCTTACGAAATCGTTAATTACAGCCGACTTGATTAATGACTCGCGCTGCGTTCCAGAGACAGTTGCTTCAGCATACCTACTCACACACGTCAAGATTTATGCGCGTACGCATATGCAGATGCGAGTTTAACGTGCAATTGACAAATCTAAAGGAAGCATGCTATCCTTGTCATGCTGTTCCAAGAAATAATAAAGAAAATTATCATCTTTTAATCCCAAGAAATATCATCATTTATATACGTAACGTGTTTCTGTAAATAAAAACAATCAAACGATTTAAAAAATCGAGTTAGTCGAAAGTTTCAACTCGATTTCTGAGTGAATTTGACAAAAACAAACCATGTTGATTAAGCAAGTAATCATTGTTCTTGTCTATTTATTCTTCGCTGACACCCTGTGGTAATTGGTAAAGGGTAGCCAATTCGCCGGTGAAAAAGGCAAAAGATCAAGCTGCGCTCTTTGACTGATCCAACAATTGTGTATTCTGAATCAACTACTTCCATTAGATTTCAAGTTTTTCTAATTATAAAGCTGACGCGTAAATCCATCGATTACAGATCCATCGGTAATATCGCAATATAGTATTTTGCATCAATACACTAGATCGTATGCTTTTGATCTCCTTTCCACGCTGCAAGAATCAACAAATTCATGAATATGCGAGTATATCGAATGTATAGATTTTACAAATGATGGTGACTTAGCGCGTTCTTACACTGAAGCCTGCGAATCTTCATCACGCGAATGATCACGCTAACGTCCGGTCGCTGCGCAGGCCGGTCGACGAGTGCAACGTGCAACCATGGGTGCAACCGGTCTTGACGCAGCGCTCGTATTCTCCTCCTCTTGACGTCATAATTGCAACTGACCCACGGACCAATCGACGGAATTGCGTAGGAGGAATAGAGAGAGAAAGAGAGATTGTGGATAGGAACGGTCGAGAGTTATGCGGGAGACGAGCTCTCGCTTCAAGGAGAGAGAAACCAGGAGAGGGATAGGTGGAGCAAGCGGAAACCCGATTGGTCCTCCTCATCGTGAGGATATCGTAGCCATGGAAACTCTCTTGTCGGTAAAGAGCGGCGAGAGCACCTAAATATAAATGGAATAACCGGCGCTTGGTAGTGGGAGAAGGGTGAGAGGCAGGGGAGCGAAGTATCGCAGAGAGAGAGAGAGAGAGAGAGAGAGAGAGAGAGAGAGAGAGAGAGAGAGAGAGAGAGAGATAGAGAGAGAGAGAGGGGATAATCTCTAGGAGAACACACGGGAGAAATCACGATATTATTATGGTTTCAATCGTTGATTAGCGGGCAAAGCAGCATATTCGTCAAACCATCGCCGCAAATTGCATTATTCTCTTGAATAGCATTGGTCCGATTGGTTCCCGTCAACTAAAACTACCCCCTTGATTGACTCTTCGATAGTTGAAATTTAGCGTTCAAACACAAAGTGTTGAGAGTAACCTGAAGAGGTAGCCTTGACGCGTATATTGATGGAACTCCTTCTGAATCTGAAATCGATCGAAATTATTTCACAATCAATGATTTGGCTATTCCTATTATTATTGTTAATGGCAATAATGTTTGAATTTTGTTCAATGGCACGGTACGAAGAGATGGACGAGAATGTGACGACCTCCTCGTGGCTGCGCCGCCTTATTTGGCCGCGATCCTCGTCGGCGTCGTATGTACGCGTCCCAGTGTCTGGCGAGGGACCACGACGGCCGCCAGATACGCGAAGCGAACTCTCCTCCTCGTCTCTCGCTTCCATCGCCACCTCCACGGCTTGCGCGGTCTCCCTCCCGGTTGCCGAGACGTGAGAGCACGGAGCAACAAGTGTTACCAGCTCTGCCTTCGCTCCGCCCTCAATCGAGCCAAAGACGCGGTACCCCTCGTGGTGGAAACTGCCCTGAGGCGATACAACCACCTCACTCGAGCGCCGATCGCGCAACGAGCCACGAATCTTCGACCTCGGCGCGAGTTTGCCGCGCGAACGCAAACTCTCGATCGGTTCGCGTTCTACCTTGGAATTGCCGAATTGTCCAGTTTGCCGAGACCGGCGAACCATTACGGCGAACGTGAATTGTGGATGGTATTTTCGTTGGAAACGCGCGCGAGGTCTCACCTCAAGAGATATCACCCTCCCGCGAACAGGTACTCTCTCGGCAGGTACCTCGAGAGGTGACGAACGTGAATTGTGAGAGAAATATATTCCCGCCGCGAGGAGTTTCGGTGTTGTTTTTGGCCAACCGCGGAATGGTCGATGCGTCAATCAGCCATCGACGGTCTGGTTCAACGAACGATCCGGAGCGGAAGCGAAAGGTCACTCGGGATCGATGCTGATACGAGATATCTGAATGCGAAGAAAGCCTCGCAAAGTCGATGATCTTGCACGTGAAGGAAAACTGGAAAATCGGATATTGTCCGAGGTAACTGACACAACGCTGACAAACAACAAGTTACCAAACGTCTCAATCTATCGATCTATCTGGAGACTCGTGTATTCGAAAATCGTGTGTCGGTTTTGTGTTCCGGTGATACCGACAACAATCACACAATGTGAGAACAATATATACGGGCATAACATTGTTGTCGATGTAACGACAGTAATGCGTATTTCGTTTCAATGGCACTCGTCGAGATATAAGGCTCGAAGAGGATCGTCACGAGAGCGTGCAATCGATAGGTCGACTATTCGCGACTTCGCGACTGCCGGGGGGAGAAGCGAAGCGCGCGAGACTTTGCGAGACACAAAGAGAAGCGGCGACGAGATAAGAATTGTAGCTGGCGACGAGCAAAAAGATGCAGATAGAATCGAGACTCTCGGTCGAATCAATCTTACGTGTGATGCGCGTCTGATAGCGAGCGAATTTAATTAAAGTGTCAGCAGTTGGAACGTGAATTTCGGACTGGAAAGAAGGAAGGAGGAAACCACCAGATTCTCGTGTTACCCGAGTAGAAAATTGCGGGACGATAACAACGTGACGCGATCACGCGATGATGATGAAGTGACATACGAAGCCGACGACGTTGATAGCGGCGGCCGAACGATCGATCGATCGATCGACGGGATGAGCGCGTTTATCGCGTGCGTGCGATAAATCGGCGAGACTGATCGATCGTGCGACTTTTGCGGTTTTCCTTGGAAGGACGAAGGGGATGAAGATGAACGACATCGCGCCGGAGAGCTCTGGCGCTTCGATCTCGCCCGCGGGCGGAAACAGCAATGCTAATAATAACAACAACAACAACAATAACAACAATAATATCAATGGGAATGGCAAGGCGTCAGGAACGGCCGCTGCGACAGTGACCGCCAATGGTGGCGAGGGGATTAGCGCAGCCGTCGCTAAGGTTCTCCAGGGTTACGACTGGACTCTGGTACCCGTTGCCACCAAGTAAGTGTTTTGTACGGAGAATGCGTCTCTTTCTTTAACTATCGGTCGAATCTTTGAATTTTGTTTATCGCAAAATTTCGAGTCATGTCGGGACTTGATTTCTTGTTACACAACTTAGAGTTACCAAATAATTGCGAGAAGGAATATAAAGGAAAGGAACACGCTCTATCACGGGTAACTCGAGTAAATTGATGAATCTGGAAAATATCGATACGATTGTGATATTTGCATAAAAAGTTATTTCACTATGTGACGGATAAAATTATCTAAATAATTTACCTATTGGACCGAACAAAATTTCTGAAATTGATATTTCTTTTTCTTTAATAAAACTTAAATAATTTGTTCAATTATCTGTCGGACGTCAGTGTTCTCGTGATGTGTTTTAATAATCGTATCGGCAACGTGTTAACACACATGTACAGTAAGTTGCAAAACGGTTTGAACCCGATAAAGTTGGAAGCTCATCAAATTGTTAAAATTGAGAGTCCATTATGCATTAATAGTATAATTAACAATCAAGAATGATAAGAGATAACAAGTAACGATAATAATAATTATTAATAATATTAATTAATAATATAATTACTAGATAAGCTCGTTATAATGACTCTCAATTTTGACAATTTTTGGGTAAGTTGCCATTGTAACTTCATTGTGTCTAAGCCGTTTTGCAATCCACTGTACGCGCGCGTGTGGTTGCGGATAAGCCTCGCGGGGTTAACATGCGCGACTGTACGTGTTCAAGAAAAAAAAAATCAAAGAGAAAAAGAAAAGAAAAAAAAACACAGCAAAGAGGAAAAGGGAGGGACGAAGAAACGACGCAACGCAGGGAAGAAGTCGCGACGAGTTGCGACGGTGCAGAAGAAGAGAGAGGGCGAGGGAAACGCAGCGCGGTCTTAAAAATACGTAACGCTAACTCAATTATGACGCACTCGTTTCCTCGGCCTGGGAAACGCGACTCGCGGAAAAATGTCCTCGGTCGCCAATTAACGCAAATTGGCTAATTAATGCCCGATCGTCGTGTTACGCTCGACCGTCGTGCTCCACTCGTGGATCGTGGGAAGCGAGACGACCTTAAAATGACCGATAACAGTCGGGAAAGAAGGAAAAAACCCAGCTTCTTTCCGCGTTGTTCACCTCGTGGTGACGCGGTGCGTCATGCCCTCCACTTGAGAAAAAATAAATTATTAGATCGCTGCAAACTCGATAAAATCGAGCGTGACCTCGATACGCAGAAAATTGTGCAACGTTCCAGAGCTTCGCGATGGCTGCCGCCGCTGTGATTTCATATTTCTAATTTTCGCGACGGTAGAGAGATATTTCTCTCCGCTCTTTTGTAAAAGGGAAATCAAAATTCATCGAAGGATTAAGACTGGGATTGAAAAGGATCTTATCCAAATATTTGTTCATCGACATAGTATATTTTATGTGACGTCAAATTTATTCGGCGAATCGGTGAAAAATTGAGATTCAAGACTGAAAAAAATTGACAAAATTAGCGACACGATTTGATCGTGATATAACGTTATCTATCGCATTTGTTCATTTGCTCGACCTACGAAAAAGATTGGTCGCTGACAATATTATCGTGCGACCTCGGTATCAGTGGATACGCATAGAGAATTTCCGAAAGAAGTCGCGCGATCGTTGATAAAGCGTTGGAACGAAACGGCGCGATTCTCCTAGGTACGTGCGCGGTTAGATGACAGACGAGAGAGCGTCGTTGCGACGGAAGTCACGAAGCGTTAACGCTTATCGCTAACCCTCAATTACGGGGTTATCTCGAGGTGGCTGCAGGGTGCGGTGTTTATTCCCGGCGATAGAAACCGATAAAATCGACCGCTTTTGAATTCCCATGGATTCCGTGAGAGAATATCGCGCGTATACTAGTAATCGCTTCGTACGTCCTATTAATTAGTTCAATTATTAATTTGCGAGTGATAAGAGAGACTGGACAACGAAGAGATGCACACAATATTCGATATAGAAGAGAGAAAACGTATTACTGCTTCAATTTTTCCGTAAAAATATTCGTACACCCCGATGACTCTGATAGTTTTTCGCAATATCGATAGTCAAGCGGGCCAATCCTTTTCCCTCTTGGTGAACGCGTTGCGCTTTATACATTGAACACCACGTCTTTACATCGCGAACGTGTGAGACGCACGCGTGAGACGAGTTTTTTGCCTGTATTGAGGTAAAGCGCGCGTCGTGACGCGTCGTGTGTGCCATGGAGGAGCGCCGTGAAAACCCTCGTTAGTGGACTCACGCTAATTACCAACGGCTCCGCGGGTTTACACACGGATTTAACGCCCCTCTCATTTCAAAGAGGCCGAAATATACGGGACCGCTTTCGAATCCTTGAAGCGCTCCTTTTCATCCGCGTTACGCGCGTTCGCCACGCTTATCCCCGTGTAATCCTCGGCGCCGATCGAGCCTTCGTAAATCCTGTTACAAGCTATTGCCGAGTTAAGTTCCGCTCCTCTCTATAAAATAAGCGTAATAAGCGTCGATTCTCTATATCGATTCAACAGTTTTCCATGAAAAATAATCTCTCGCGTGTCGGTGTTTTAAGGATGCCGGTAGTTCTTCGCGCTTCAACGCGGCCGCTCGGGGCAGAGTCCTTAAATAATCCTCGATTAAGGGTAAAAAGAAAAATAGGGAGGGCGGATCTCCAGCGTGGCAATCACGTCAGTCACGTCGATCCCCAGGCTGGACGGGGCAAAAGTTTTATGAAGTCATCTTCTCGGAAAGAAAGGGATACGTCCATTCCTACCCGTCACACGTCGGCAGCTACGGTGTTATTTTAAGGCCGGTTTTAAACGCTCCGCACGCCCGCCAGGATGACCCGGGGGTAGCCACGGCGGCAAAACCCGATACGGATATATGTATATATATATGTGTATGCGTGCCATCGCCTCTGGTTATTTTCTTCTGCAAGTCACCAGATTATCCGTCGAAATAGTCGAGAGAGAGAGAGAGAGAAAGAGAGAGAGAGAGAGAGAGAGAGAGGGAGAGGTGAAGAGAAAGAAAGAGAGAGTGAGTAAAAGAGCTTCTCTCGCTGCCAAAAAGTTCGTTTTTACCTCTACCAGGTGATTCCATAATCCTGTCATTGACATAGTGCATCTTTCGCGATGTGAAAATTGTACGACTCGAATGACGTTCGCGTAAACATGTAGAGAGTTATCGTTTCCAATGAAGATAATGTCTTGGAATTGCAGGGGTTCCGGCGACAAAAGAGCGGCCCACGTCAAGAGGCCCATGAACGCGTTTATGGTGTGGGCCCAGGCTGCGAGGCGAAAACTGGCCGATCAGTATCCTCAGCTTCACAATGCCGAGCTGTCGAAAACGCTGGGAAAACTGTGGCGGCAAGTACCGTACTTTCTTTCCTTTGCGCGTCAATGATTGTGTGCTATACAAGTCGCGATAACGACGCGGTTACTCTACTTTAACCCTTAGAGTATGCGGTGTAGTGCGAAGCTGATCGTATGGTTCGATACTCATCTGATCACTTCTATTTTATACGCCCGCAGGCCACAGGTTTTCGCTGATTAAATATGTACACACAAATATTTTAAAGGTTAATATATGTTCCATTAGCAAATTACGTCCTACTTTACTGGCGACATACATTACATTTTCTCACGTTAAATTATATTCCGTTGGTCGAGTCGAAGAAAATACTATACGATAAAGCAGCGAGACTTAATATTACGTACTTATGTGCGCGTTGCCTTCAGCCGACGAGTAACGTTCAAGTGCGGACCCCGGGCAACGGAAAGACACTGTTCCGATAAAATTAATCGGCACCACGTGTCTTCAATCGGATGCCTCTCCGCTCTCGATCTGATAAGACCGATTCTCACAGACACAAGCGAGCTCGCCGCCAGGCGGCGGCCAGCCATGTGAAAGAATCGCGTTCGCTGATCTTCGTTCGCGCTCGCCGCATTCGGAGAAAATCGGATCGTGCGAGTCGCTAAAAAATCCGTTGATCGTTTCAGCTGCCGTTGATTCGACGCCACCTGTGCGCTTATCGTCGACGATCCTGCGTCGTTGAAATTCGCTCGCGTGTACTCAACTCGCATTCAGCGGAGCAAGTACAATTTTAGTTAGAGAGACATTCGATGTAACGATTGATCCAAAGGAATTTCGTTGAAAGCTCGTTGATTGAGGAAAAAGAAAAGAACTACATGCGCTAGTCGACGTCGCCAACGTTGCGCGACTTGGGAGAACCGCCGTGCGTTCCAATTCTCGCGACCACTTGTTCGTGATCCGTTCTATTTTTACGCGCGAATTCGCGAATACTTCTAGTTTTTCTTCTTTTTTAATCGTAAAGGCAACGGCACATATATTAAACACGCTCGTACCACGTGGCGCCTAAGTTGCACGTGTGTGTGTGTGTGTGTGTGTGGTACAAGTGTTCCTATTTCTCGAGACCCGTGAACCGGGGTCGCATATGTAACGGGGAGCACACACGTTGCGTGACGTCGGCACTCTTTTATAACCAGTTACAATTCCTTTTAGCATTCACGTCGTTACAGCTTTCTATCGAGACTTTTCCTATGTATATACCTTGCGAGATGTTTAATTTTCTTTTCTCTTTTTCCATTTATATAATCGTTCGTTAAATTCAACTAAATTAGCAAGCATTAATCGAACGAACTTCGATTTAGTATTTTGTCACTTGCGGCACGCATGATGCAATTTTGTCACGGATATTAGCGCGACTGAAACGTACAATTAGTATTCTTCAATATAACTCGATTTTGGCAGACAACACGCGGCTTTTGATACATCCTGTATACACAGGCTTCGGAATGACTCGTGGACAATTCCGCTTCCTGGTTGGGACTAACGAGGTGCCCCAGTGGGCCATATGAACGATCATCAGAGGACGCGCCGACAAGGAACCCCGTCGCGAATCATTTAATAATACCGGCCCGATCGTGATCGCGATCGCACGTTAAAGATCGACGATCGATATCCGTACGATTGTCACGACGGAGCTTTCGCTGAAAAATAAAATTACCCGACACAAAAGTCACTAATCGATTTTTTCTGACGCGCGGGAACAAGTCAACACAACATCCGTTAGACGTGCATCGACAGAATCGAATGTTTATTACTTTTATTCGAGTCATCGCATCTACGTCTAATTAGATGCAGAGAACAAGTTTTGATTTGATTTTATCTCAAAATACTTAATGACATTTGGTCGCTGACTCTTTTTACCTTTTGGGACTATTTATTTTTAATAGATTGTTGCGCTCATGCGACCGAACATTCTTCTTCGATTTTTCTTCAATTTTCAGCACCCAATGCAAGAAAATACCGGACGTTAGGGTACAAATATTCGATTGGTCTGGATTGGCCGAGCAATCACGAGCGTCGCGTAAAGGATTAGCCGAATTGTCGACCCCACACACGAGTTCGTCCGATTTCAAGTTCCCACTCTTTCCTGAAGACTCGTGTAGCGAGTTTCCGCTTGGTCGCTGAGCGAACGTGTAATCGAGAACGCTATCGTCTGCTCATTAGCCGATGGCAATATGCAAAAGGAGATTGTGTCGACACAGATAATGCTTTTCCGAATAACGCCGAAATATTTATAAAAAATTCAAAGTTTCCGAATGATATTAAGCAAAAATGTGAAATATCCCTGTGGTGGTCTTTGATTCTTTTTTAACGAACCTGAAAAGATCCTTGGTTGTGCAAGTCGAGCAAGTCAGATTTACACATCAGTTATACATATGCTAATAGTAGGTAAATAGATATTTCGTTGAAATAATATTTCGAGACTTTTTCGAATAGAATGGGAAATTAACTAATATATGTGATAATGAATATGTCGGAGGAAGAATCGTGATTTGATATCGCGAGCGAATGTAATTTTGGTCCTTTCTTATTTCGGAAGAAAGGACAGAATCGGCCTTGAAATACGGGATACGTTGACCCGCACGTTTCGGCTCTTAAGAAGTAATTATTTAACACCTTTTGGTATGGACCTAGTGCCACTTAACACTCTGGTCCGAGAGATATTTTCGTGACCGTGCCAAGGCTCCTCGTGTACGCGCGAATGAATTAGCCAAATCGCGAGTCTCTATGAGATCACGCGTAAAGAATTATATTTGCACGATTAATCGGCGACGATCGAGATGTCTGTGCCGCCGCTTCGACATTTCGATCTACCTTTGCGCAGGCACAAACGATACAGTCATCTTCGGTAATGAACACAGTACTAGAAAGCGATTGCTACACGGATGAACTCGCTCCGCGAACCGATGTGACTGATAAAACGCCAAGTTCAACGGTGATTACGAAGATTGGAGCCGATCGAGATAGTTTACGGTGAAGCGACAAGTGGATGTAAAGTAAACATCTTTACAAATAAACCATGATTATATCGTAGTGTTCTGTGACAAGAAACGTAAAGTAAAGAAAAGAGAAAAGAAAAGAAACACAGAAAACTGAAAGGTACGAGTGGTCACAATATAATCTTGATATAGTCGTGGAGTTTTACATAATTCACACAAGTAGTCGCAACAACGTGACGTCAGAAAAAACAAAATCGGAATGTAACAGGGGATGAGCCTTTGCAGACGGATTCTTCGTCTTTCACCGATTTTAATCGATTTTAATCGATCGCAACTCGTCTAATCCTTACGGATTCTGATGCCGACTTGTTTTACGTCAATCCCGATAAGAAGCCAGGTGTGTAGCCCCTGGAAATCTTCCTCTCTCTCTCTCTCTCTCTCTCTCTCTCTCTCTCTCTCTCTCTCTCTCTGCGTCGTCTCGAAACGTATCGCCATTCGGCGGATACCAAACGTTACGTGTTTGTCGACAAAAAGAAAACAGATATCCCCGGGTTCATCCTTGGCGCGTGCTCGCAGCTGCCGGCCGGTTCCTGCCGGATAGATAAAGGGCCCCCGGGGGATCACAATAAGCGCCTTGTGCTCGTCAGGTGAATTGTTCCGAACCTGCCCTTCCGCTCCTCGGGCCCTCTCGCAAATAGCGCGTGACGAGAACAGGTAAATCCGTTTTATCTCCCCGGAAGAAACTATTGCTCCGTATAACCGAGTTTTCTACGAGGAATGATCTTTCCGAGGAAAGCGGTAGCGCACTATCGATTTCGAGTAAAGATGTAAATTACACTTTCGGATGTGACTGGAGTCTTGGGTGTAGTTCATTTATTTATAAATATATTTTTACTATATCTTAGAATTGCGCGTTGCAGTATTAGTATATTTTCCTTCAGCTTACATAGTACTCCAGAAGGAAATTTGGTTTTAATATTTATATTCCTCAATCATACTCATTCTTCGTTTCTAGTTATTTAACATCTCTATAGTTACATTGCTTTCTCTAAATGGCTTTACAATATTATTTTTGTTACCTAAATATCTTTATAATCTTCTTTCACAATCTCTTTACTATTTTTCGGTAAAGTTGATATAATTCGAGTAAAAAATTTACTGAAACCAATAATTTTGTAGATATTTCCGTAAATATTTTAGAAAATAGAGGTCGTATGAAAAAATTTTTCAAACAAAAGTTGTTTGCTTCTTTAGGCAAAATAAAATTCCGTAATAAACAATACATATTTATGTTTAAAAAAGCAAAGTTGACCTTGAACTGATCTTGGTGACGCCACTTTAGGTCAAAACAATGGTATCTTCTTATGTTCCCCATCGCACCTTACAACTTTTGTCTAAAGCATTTTTTTCTAAAATGTACTATTTCTGAGATATTAACCTAAGACGATCAAAATGAAACACTCTGTATAACAATAAAGAAAATGACACGAGAACTCCTGATATCTCCTTGCGCATCATAATCTGGAATTTTAAAAATCGTAAATTTGTATCAGGAGAATATAACAATCGAGAAAGCGGCATAAGAACTCCTGATATGTCTTTGCGCATGTATACTTTTAAAGGACTGTGCGGATTTGCTGGAATTTATTAAAGAATATCTGCTTCGTTAAGCATTAAAGACAAAAATGGTTCAGGACTTTTCGATTCAAGTTTTCATAAGGGATAACGCTATGTTCTTCGTGAGCGAAAGTAAAG